AAGAGCGCGAGCTGTCTCAAGGATGTGGCGATGCTTCCGTTCAATGACACTGTTTTGCTGGGGAGTGTCAGTACAACTGGTTTGTATAAGAATGCCTGAATTTTCATTAAAATCCTGCAGTACAGAGGTCTTGAATTCCAAACCGTTGTCAGCTTGAATGCGTTTCACCTGTTTTCCGAATTGAGTCTTCACCATTTGACAGAATGACATAATATGACGACCCACATCAGATTTAAACTTCAAAAGAAAAACCCACACACCACGACTAAAATCATCCACAATGGTGAGAAAATAATGAGCTCCACTCAACGAGGCAACTGATAACCGCCCCAGAACTCAGCATGAATTAATTCAAAACAACCCGAAGTTTTGACAGAACTGGTGGGAAAAGGAATCCGAGTCAGCTTAGCCCGTAAACAAGAATGACAAGGGCTGCTGGTTTTAATGACCGAAAAGGAAATAGAACTATCAATCTGAGACAACTTCAGCGAGGAAGGGTGACCCAATCGATTGTGCTAGATGTCTTCTCCAACCGATTTCCTTCCATGCGCCGCAAAAGCAAAACGTTCCTGACTATCTAACAACTTCAAGTAGTACAGACCATCACGGAGAATCCCCTCCCAATCACAATCCTGGAGTGTAAGTCCTAAAGGATGCACATGTCACGTAGAAAAACCGAAGCAACATTATTATCCCTTGTTAGCCTGCTGACCGAGAATAAATTACAACGAAACTCTGGCACGTGCAACACTCGATCCAATTTTAATCCTGTAGAGAACTCAACGGAACCAACTTTCTCAACTGGAATGCTATCACCATTTGGAATTAGAACTGGCTGACTACGGCTTGTAATAACACCACTGCTTAACAACTGTTCATCTTTCGTGATGTGCTCGTTACAACCTGAATCAGTTAACCATTCAGAATGATCGACGGGTGAAGGATCGTCGACTGTCGTGGAGGAGAAAAACTTCTTCAGCTGATCGAGTTGGACGAGGGTGAAACCGGACACCGGACTAGCTTCTGTTTCTGCTTGTGCAGCGCGTGGTGGCACATCACCAGGACCTCGACGTCGCCTCTCACCCTTCTCTCCTTGGTTGGATTTATTTCGACTTGGCCACCCAATCAGTTCGTAGCAAGTTTCTTTAAAGTGACCAATTCTCCCACAGTAGGTACATATAGGACCAATTCTTTAAACTGGCGATCATGACATCGCTCTCCATTGCGATGTTGTTTAGCTTGCGCGACATCGTTCGTTAACCTCGCGCGACGCTGCAAATTATTTAAGGCAAAATATTTTAGGTGTAAACAAATGCATGAAACCTTCTTTCTTCTTCTTGTTTATTTATTTAACGTTTTTTTTTTTTTTTGTTTGGAAATTGAGATTCTCTGCTTCACTTGATGTTTGGTTAAGTAGGTTAAGGTAAGAGCCCGTCACGGAAGGCGGGGAGAAAACAAGACCCACTACTGTTTTTTTTTGCTAGCTAGGCGTTCCCGCTAGGTAACCCAACCATAATTTAAACTCAGAAAAGCATCCATCTCCCAGCTGTGGACGGCAACACTATCGATACCACAGGTCGGCCGATCAACCGCTAGCTAGCAGCTGAATGCTGATATGTAGTCTATTATATAAATCCTCACCGGCCTCTCGTTTATTAGCATCGCAATACAAAGTCACACGCTGAAACACATTTGCCGCATATATACGCTCGCTTGTGAGGATGAACTCCAACTACAACAAGAAAGCTGCAGCTCCGCCGCTGCTGATCATCGGCGTTTCTCTCCTTGTGCTCGTGTTGGTCGTCCTGCCTGGTCACTCCACGGCTGCACTCCCGTTCCCTCGCTCTCACCACGCCGATATTAATCCTCGTGAGTACTGAGTAGTCGTGTAACTAAATTGCAGTTAACAATTAGTTTTCACATGTATATTTCAACATGAAGCGCTAATTAAGAAATACCACATGTAAATTAAATTAAGAATATTATTGCATCGCATCGGACATCAGTTGACTTAACTTTAGCATTTGCAGAGTTGGGTGGCGGCGAAGCCACAATTCAAAAGAAAAGTAAAAAGAAAAAGCTTTGGTGCAAGGCTGAGCCAACATGCCCCGATGGCTATTGCTGTAGCTGTAACGCCCTCATGATTTGCACAAAATGCTGCTAGATAGATAGCGCCCGAGTTTCGTCCTCCATACGCCACGTACGTCTACGCTCACATTAGTTTTCCTAACGCTTTTGGCCGACTTATTAGCTAGTACCTAATATATTTTCATAAGTACTGGTGTTTTTTGTTTTGTTTTGAAGAGTTTGTTATGGTATGATATGAATTTGTGTATTTAACATTGTGGTACAATTTTTTTTATTACAAATTGAATATGTATGTTGTACTTATCGTACAACTTCATTTTGTACCTATACATTTTCATACAAATTCTTTTATGATATAAATTGATATCGTACTTTAACCTTTATGGTACAAGTTCAACTTGTATCTAAAAGCACCGGTACTTAGGAGGATTGTAATTTTTTTTTGTGTTATTGCATTATTAATGGAGATTAACCTTTTTTTTTGTGAAAAATGGAGATTAACCTTTAGATGCTAACAATATTAATATTATTGTAGAATATTTTATAAATTACACTCTTTTAGTATGAAAGTTTTCTCTGATTTTGGCTATATCTAAATATCAACGTATTTAATACCTATAAAACGGGGCATCAGTGTTTTGATTAATATATTCACTTAATTTGAAAACTAACTTGATGCCTTGTGGGCAGCAAACTCATGATGACCTTTAATCTCCTTTTTTGACAAATACAGGTGCGCTAGTCAACGGGAAACAACAAGACCAACATGGTCAATAATGAAACATTAATGTTCCATTTACAGGTCCTATGTAATACTTTATAAAATAATAATGAGTAATAGAAGAAGACACTTTCTTCTTCAGCGATTGCAGGTATATGCTTTCTTATTACGAAAGATGAAGTATGCCTCAAGGAGATGCTCAAGGCCCAGATAATTAGGGAACATAAGGATTGATGAATTGGGCCGAACTATAAAGCTCGTTCACCACCACCTTGCTTTCCTATTTCTGCCACTCTTCTTTTGTTCCCCTTTTTTCCTTTGTTTTCTTTAGCAAAGGAGCAGAACGTTGGAAAGATAGCAGAGTATAGTTATCAATTCAACTAAGCCTTGTATGAGATGTATATATTAATATATCATGTTACTGTTCAATAACTTATATTAGTTTTTACTTATGTATTGGGCTCTGAATTAGTTGGCCAAAACAACCATCATTGGAGGCAGTAAAGCCCACGAGTAAATTTGGCAAAATTGAAAATACACTTATACAACTATAACTTTCACGATTGTGACAAATATATTCATAATTATCCGAAAATACAAAATGACAACTTCCATCTATTTCTTTAACGGCGTCAGTTAACGATATGACTGTACTGATGGAAATGCCAACATTTTCTTAGTGGGAGGGTCCACGTGGATCTAAGATAAAAAGTCAAAAAATAAAATAAAAAGTAAAATAATAAAATGCTCATTTAGGGGTTCATGAAAACCCGAAATTAGATTTAGGGTTCCAGCCTCCAGGAGACTCATTCAAATCGGCGGCCACCTCTTCATCCTCTCAAGCTCCTCAACCACCTCTCCATTTCCTCACAACCACCTCCTCGACCTTTTATGCATCCATTCATCCATGCCTTCTCTCGCTAGGAACGCCCAAGCTTCCCTCTCAAAACTTCTGTCAAGGCCTTGGAACAAATCTTCTTCTCTATCACCAGACGCTGCCGGCCACGGTGTCTGCAACATTGATGAAGAAGAAGCTCGTCGATGATGCGACGCCGACCTCAACTCAATTGTTTCACAAAACTTGGATTGCGCTCACTTGTGCAGAATGATCTGATCCGCTTTCACTCATCTCCAGCAGCAGCTTGATCAACCTCTCTACAAGGTCGTTCCCTCTTCAAAATTACCCCTTTCAGTTCGTCTCTTTTTTATTTGGGTTTGCTCTTTCCTTGTGGGGTTAATTGATGAATGATACGTGATGGATTTGGATAGCTCCCTTTTCTTGGCGGGAGTAGACCAGTTTCTCCTTTCTTGGCCAGAATGGCCAAGGGTTTCTTATTTTCTGAAATATTGCTTGCCTTCTATTCCGTTCATTCCTACCTTAAATACATGAATTAGAAAGACCCTATCTATTTGGAACCAACTCCACGTTTTGCTCTACTTCAAGTGCACTTACTCCACTAATTCTAACAACTTGCACCATTAACTCTAACAATCTGCTAACCTCTTCATCCTTGCTAACAAGACTCCAACAAACCGAAGCATCATTACCACCCCTGAAAATCGGCCTTGTCCACAAGGCCGAGCTGAATGAAGCGATGTAGAAATCGGACGCTAACTCCCGTGTGGCATAAGAACACGAACCCACCAAGCAACAAATCATTGTTCAGGAGGTAAAGACGGAAGTCGATAAGCTCAGGAAGGGGCTGCTCTTGATACATGTCCATTCTTGAACCGTAACAATCAGTTGGTCTGGCCTATAAGTCAACCCCGGAAGTTGAACTGACCCACTCATCCCCCCACTTCAGCTTGTTCACTCCGTTTCATTTTTTTCATCCTCTCCTCGAACGACGCCGCTTTCCTGCGCTCAACCTTTGCCCACAATCTATGCTTCTTGAAAGGCTTCCAACTCCTTCCCGAGACTGTTTTTGCGATCACCTCGTCGTAGGTTGGGAGCCCAAAATTTGGCTTATCGGGATTGTCGACTGAGGGGACCATTGACCGCTTTGCCGGCAGGGAAAAGAAAGAGTCAACCTCCATGGTAGGGGTGGGCATTGGTGCGGTCCAAACCGTCCGCCCGCTCCAAATCGCTTGTGCGGCCAGCCCAAACCGCACCGTTAAGATTGCGATTTCATTTGCGGTTTAATTATTAAGCGGTTCGTGGTTTTGCGATACAAGCAGACTTAAACCGCGCGGTTGCGGTTCAAAACTGCAAACCGCTAAATCCCTACACGGAAGGTCGCCCACAAACACTTCAGTGAGACTTTTCACTTCCTCCTCCACTGCCTCATCCAACCGCAGCAGTGTCTCCCCTCAAATCACCTCTTCTCTCCTCGAATCCCTCCCTCTCTTTACCTTCGCCTCCATCCACCGCCACTCAGCCTCCTCCTCCTCGGGCGATTGCACGGTCTGCTTCTCCAAATTCAAGCCAAATGACCAGCTCCGCCTCCTCCCTCTGTGCTGCCACACCTTCCACTCTGCCTGCATCGACACCTGGCTCCTCTCCAACCAGACCTGCCCCCTCTGCCGCTCCCCGCTTCACGCCTCCAATTCCGACATCCTTAAGGCTCTCTCCTCCTCTTCCGTCTCCGACAGCTTCCGCCTCGAGATCGGCTCCGTCAGTCGGCTCCAAGGGGACGACGTCGCCCACCAACACTTCAGCACTCCCCAGTCGGCGCATTCCTCAGTCTCTACTACGGTCTTCGTTGGCGGTGGAGGAAGCAGTAGTATCGCTTTCGAAGATTTCCATTTCCCATCTGATCTCATCTCCATTCAGGATCACAAGGACGAGACGATGCTCGGTGCATTTCATTCTCTGTTATAGTAAGGGATTCTAAGATTGTCTAGCTTTTCTCAGATCTGGGTTCAATTTGCTAAAATTCATGATCTGGGTCTGCTTATTTCTGTCATGGGAACATTAGGTTGTGCTTCAATTTCTCGAATTTTAGAAAAACATCCAGTTGATATCAATATGTTATGGAGTCGCTGGCTTTTCCCTTCCGATGTCCAGTTCTTTAGCTTCTGAAGTGTCTAGCTGTGTCGGAAGATATGTGTGTTCCTCTTGGAAGTCGAAATTATTGGCTCTTACAAGCTTAATATGCTGTTATTCTGGTGGTAGGTGTAGTTTCATGCTCTTGGTGATCGTCATCTAATAATATGACTTGACAGTGAATTTTTGACATTGTGAGGTTTCAGTATGCTGTAGGCAGCTTCTATAAGTTTTGGCAACTTTCACTAGAAGATTATTGTTGAATGAAAGAAGCTTTTCTAATGCTTCATCTAAGCATTGGACTTATGTGGTGCTAAGGGTTTAGAGCTTTTCATTATTAAGTTGTCTGCAATGTTGTTTAATAACTTATTTATGTGATGTAGGATCGTTGCAAGGTTCTAGGTCACAGCTCAGATGTAAGAATCTTCGTGCATGTCTGTTGGTGTGAGATAGTATTGCTATAACATTAGAATATTATTGTTTGATCGTCTTCTATGAACTTGTTATTTCCCTCAATAGTTTGTGGCTGCTCCCATTTGCCTGACTAGTGGTTAGCCTGGCAATGGTTATGATAGATGGGGCATTTTTAAGTTTATTATGAGTCTGTTCCCCTTATGGTGCACTATTAGTACTTGTGTTACTGATGTTGAAGAACTATATCTTATTCAAGTGTGTACTCATTTTTCTTCTATCAGAGACCGATAGCTAGCTATTAGTCAATTTGTATCGTTAGTTTTGAGGCAAGGAAGTCTTCAATGCCCTTCAAGGTGATTGACGTTGTTTGGGTTCTTGCAGCGTTGACGAAGTTCCTCCAAATCGAGCGTGTTCTTGTTCTGTTTGATTGGAATTCCCTTTTCTGTCTCTGCAACGTTGGTGTTTTTGGCTGGCTTTTCTTTGGATAGTGCTCACAAAACCGATAGCTAAAGCTATTAGTCAATTTGTTCAAGAGTGCTAAAGCTGCTGCTATAGGGTGGAGATGGTAGTCACTTTATTTCTAAGTATGTTCTTTCATATGCTTATAGGGTTGTAATGAATCTGTGAAAAAGAAGATACTATTATCAGCAAAATGAAATCAAAAAGCTTGCAGGGAAAACGAGCTCAAGCATCGGTATCTAGTGAGGTGAGTTTCTTGACTATGGTTACATTGTTAGTGGACCTACGATGCATGTTTAAGCTGGATTTGATGTGGAGTTTTGTGGAGTTTGTTTGTTGGTTCTTTCAATTCAGGGTCCAATTTGAGAGAAGTTCATTTGTTGTAGTTGTAGTTGTTGGTATTGGTTAGGTAGTAGCAACGAATGCTTGAAAATTCAGTCTAATTAATGACATGTATTGGGGTTCTGATGGCTGTGATTCATCCATTGGCAGGAATGAATTTGAAATAAAATAAATAGAGAAGGAAAAGACTCATATGGAGAGATAGTGAAAGTCTGGGTGATCTGATCCCACAAATTTTCCCATTGCTTAACTTAGCTTTGCTGTACCGAGCTGTGCTCAGTTCTGCTAGCTGTTTGGTGCTCTTAGTTCCTCCTTTGGTTGTTGATCTGATCCACAGACAGACTATAGCATTTGATCCCTCCATGCTAAACTGATCCTGAAAAGAACCCTAGCTACATAAAAGAACTCTGCTACATCGCATCCTCCACTGCTTAGCTGCTCTGTTAATTACCTCACAAATGTTATCAATATAGCTCTATTAAGTAATGACTAATTAGAACTAGCTAGCCCAAACTAATGAGATAGACTATAGTAAAAGATACATGATAATTATTGTTGTTGCTGCTGATACTGTGTTGTTATATGCTCAATTAACTTCCCAGCAATAATTATGCTAGGTTCTCATTTACTTTATCATTGTTTAGGCTGAATATGATGATGTTGCAATGGAGTCCCTAAGTGGGGAAGATATGGAAGTCGAAGTGGATGCAAGTACAAGTAGTGTGGGTGCTGCTGATATTGGTTCAACTGCAACTCAAATTAAGTCACCGAAGGCAAAAGGCAGGAAGCTTACATAAAAAGTATGAGTTCAATTCAAGAGGCATGTGACAAATGAAAGATTCAAGGCATCATGTATCAAATGCGGGAAGACTTATGAATCTAAATCGCGTAAAAATGGAACAAGTGCGCTTCTCAGACATATGGAAAAACCATGCGGTGATAGAAAAGGTACTGCTCAACAACTATTGAATACAATTAGAGTTGGATTAGGAGAGAGTGATGCAGTAGTGTTAGGGAGCTGGAAGTTTGACCAAGACGCTATAAGGAAAGGATTGGCTTATATGATTATTGTGGATGAGTTACCTTTTAGGTTTGTTGAATACTTGTGTTTCAAATATTTTATGTGACTTACTTGTCCTAGATTCTGCATACCTTCTAGAAGGACTGTGACTAGGGATTGTTGGGAATTTTATCTTGAGTTGAAGCAAAAGTTAAAGAATGTCTTTAGCAATGGTGAAGGTAGATCTTGCTTGACTACAGATTCATGGACTTCCAACAAGCAATTGAATTTCATGTGTGTGACAACCCATTTTATTGATAGAAACTGGATATTAAGAAAAAGGATAATTGGTTTTTGCCAAATATTCAGTCATAAGGGGGTGGATATTGCAAGTGCAGTTGTGTCTTGTTTGGATGAATGGGGGATAGATAAGATTTTCACAATCACGGTTGACAATGCTAGCTCGAATGACACTGCAATAGAAGAATCGAAAAGTATTTTTGATGATAGAAAGATTAGCATGTGTGGTGGCAAATTCCTTCACGTCAGGTGTGTTGCCTATATAATGAACCTTGTTGTGATGGATGGATTGTCTAGATATCTGTAGCTGTCAAGAGAATCAGGGAGGCTGTGAGATTTATTAGGCAATCACCTGCTAGAATTCAAAAGTTCAATAATTTTGTTGCTCTTGATAATACAAGCAAAAGTGGCTTGTGTCTTGATGTTCCAACGAGGTGGAACTCGATCTTTTTTATGTTGCAATCTGTTGTGAAGTATGAGCATGATTTTGATCTTTTTCGATTGTCATATAAGCAGTTTAAAAATGATCTTGAAGCTAAAAGTGGAATACCTGATATACATGATCGGGAGAGTGATAGAAGAATGATGAAATTCTTGGAGCAGTTTTATCACTTTACTTTAAAAGTTTCTGGTTCACAATACATAACCTCCAACTTGTTTCTTCCTGAAGTTGGGAATTTGTACAATTTGTTGAAGAGTTGGATGGTTTTAAACAATGAGGATTACCAATTAAGCTTCATGGCAACGAAGATGAAACAGAAATATGAGAAGTATTGGGGAGATGTTGACAAGATGAACAAGTTGTTGTACATAGCTGCCGTTTTAGATCCACGGCGAAAGTTGCGCTTTATTGGTTTCGCTCTCAAGTGGAAGTATGATGATGAGAAATCGGCTAGTGATTTGACAAGTGATGTTGAGGAGGCTACTTATGAGTTGTATGCTCATTATGAGAATCAAGTAGGTGAAGCTTCATCATCCTCTCAAACAGAACTAGATGAAGATGGTGGAAACGTGGATCTAATTGCGGAGTATATGAAGCAATTGCAAAAAGAAAGAGGTGTAGTCAACAAAACTGAGTTGGATAGGTATTTGAACGAGGAAGTTGAAAGATCAATGGATCCCAAATTTGATGTGCTAGGCTGGTGGAAAGTAAACAGCCACAGGTTTCCAAATTTATCTCGGATGGCAAGGGATGTATTGGCTATCCCTATTTCTACAGTTTCGCCTGAAGTGGCTTTTAGCACTGGAGGGAGAGTACTGAATGATTTTAGGAGTTCTTTGACTCCTAAGATTGTGGAGGCCCTTATTTGTACTCCGAGCAGACTCTAGTCCATGTGGAGTTGAAGAAGATTCAGAGGAGATCAATAATATTGATGAAGGTAAGCTTTCTTAGAATAAAAAAGCTATTAGTTTTGTTTAATGCTCAAGTCGATGGTGACATTTTATGAATTTCAGAGTTAAGCATGGTGTTGAAGGCTATTAACATCTCTGATGTTCCACTTCCTTTTACCAATACCCCTCGTACGAGTCCTATTATACAGGCAAACGCAAACATGTGAGGTAATTGATCGTGATCTGATGATGATCCCCATCCGACAGGCCATGTCTCATCTTCTTCATTGTTTGTTTCTTTGTGTCTCGTTTCACTGCTGTTGCTACTGCGGTTTTGATTTGTTGGCCCCGGTTGTGGCATTGGTATTATTAGTATATTAGATTGGTTACCTCAGCTAAAATCTGTGTTGGTTGGTAGTATGGGTGGGTGGTAACAGAAGAGAAAAAGGTGATCATGATGATCAAGCTCAAGTTCACAGCAACAACAACAAGCATATTACAGCATGCAGCTGGCCTACTGCGAATAACAGAAAGGAGCTAGGAGCAATGTCTATGTGATAGCCAAAGAGTGAGATTTGGTGGTGGTGATGATGATGGTGCCATCGAATCTCCACCCTATACCTGTTTTGGCTACTATCTCTACGTCTTATATGTGAGAGGGGAGGGGTGGCAAATAGAGAAATGATAGATTGATTAGGTTACTAATGGAGGTGGTGGGGTTTTGGTTTTGGGTTGCAGGTGCTTCACTTGAACATTAGTAGCATGGATGACACTGTCCTCTACTCCTTCCTCCTCAAGGTATATATTATACATGCGTTTAACTGATCAATCTTTCAGCTTTTTTCTTTGATGTAGTTGGATGTAAAGTTTGCTTGTAGACTAACCCTCAAAGCCCCTACTAGATTAAGTTTATGATATCAGACTCTTATATGTTTTTGGTTTTCTCATTTTGGTTTCTCGCGTTGTTGCTGTTGTTATTGTCTTTGGCACACTGCAGCAACTGTATGCGAACACATAGCAAATATATTCCCATTGCTTTGTTCGTTGATCATTAACTACTATTGTTTTTTGGGTTGCAGGTGGTATATTCAAGGAGAAAAAGAAGAAGCGGAAAATGGGTAAAATCGTAAAACGTAGAACCAAGCGTAAAAGCGTATGTTTTTGATGCACCCTCTAAAATAGCTAAAATATGTTAAGTACAACATATAGTATGTAAAATGTGAGTGTGTAGATTTTAGATAAGTGAATAACACATGAAATTCATAATTAAAATGTAATATCTAACACATAAACTAATTTGTGTTGACTCAAAAGTAGAGAAAACTCATAACATCTTAATAATAAGCTCATAAATGTAGATCGTAACTCGTAAACGAGCTTGAGAATCCAAATTCTCATAAGTTGGTTTGAGTTTACATAATTACATACGATCAATTACCCATAAACTTTATCGCAACCCAGGTAAGAGCCATAGGTGAAGATTAAGGGAGAAGACTGATAGCAGGTCAACGACTGTTGAGAATACCATTAGGTGTCTTTTCAACCTAATGTGAAGCCCCTATCTCGACACTGGTTGTAGAACGAGTGATGAATCATGTTTTCCTTTTTATTTATTTTTGAGCAATGTCTATTTTTTACCCAAACCTTTTTCAGATTCTTTTATTTTAACCAAACCTATAGAAATTATATTTATTATCCAAACGTATTATAATTTATCAAAGTCTGGGCATTCATTCTGTTACCGTTGCTTATTTTGTCCACGTGAGAGGTGGGATTTTTTTTTATAATCTTTTTATTAAAAATAGTAAATGATGGTATTCTGACCGCCACGTAGGAAGTCAACTCATTATGGTCATACTTAGTCAGCATTACTAACAGAAAAGTTGACGGAGAATTAACGTTTGGATAATTTTTAGGAATTCAATAGGTTTGGTTAAAATAAAAGAATCAGAAAAAGGTTTGGGTCAAAAATAGACATTGCCCTTTATTTTTTGCTAATATGTCTCCAAAATTATATTATTTTGGGCCAATTAGCACATTTTTATGAGATGATCAAAATCGTATAAAAACGCTTCAGAATAGCGACTTTATCGATTTTAAGCGATTTTACCCATGTTTTTACCAATTTTTGTGACTAAGCAACTTTAGGTAGAAACTGAAACATTTTGGAGGGCGAAACCAAAAAAGTGAGTGCACCGAATACGCCACCACACATATATATATATGGCAAAGGCTAGCGTACACCAGGCGTGGCTATACGCCTGCGTTCACACTAATAAATGAATTATTGATAATTTAATTAATAATGGTAAAATTATAATTACGCGCACACTCATTAAATGAATTATGGCATACACTTTACTCCCTCAACCTTTTTATGTTTTGTTACATTTAAACCAATTAATAAGTTCACCGATATGTATTTCCTTTCCTTTCCTGTTCAACATAACCATCCAATCTAGACACTTTCCTAACTGTTTCTTAAATTAAACCATTTTGTTCAAAAGCTTAACCGAAAGAGCACCTATTTCCTCCTCCACAAATCCCAGTCTACAAATGTTCTTATCAAAGTTTATATGCCGATGTATTACTCATTGTTATAAGAATCGAATCGGATCAATAGCGGGGTCAGTAGAACCGCCAAATCAGTTACGATAGTGATCTGGTCCATTGCTTGGACGGTTATTGATAGGTCCAGCGATTTTTTACGGTTAAACATAAAATTAGATGAACCACCACGGTTTAATTGGTACACACCGATTCACTATTTAACCACAATTAAAAAAAAAATCTAACGTTAACAAAGACCATCAACCAAAATTATTAATTTTATTTTTGATTCTCCTTCTCATTTTCCAACCTCGTTGCCGACTTCACTACCGACTGGCACCATAATTTTTAACATGAATTAAAAATTATGACTTCTTTTGTGAGACGCTTTGAATGATTTTTTAGATATTTTGGTGATGATATGAATTTGAGATTGTTTATGATCAAAGATAACTTCATTTTTAAATTAGTGTATTATACAAATCCTATCACGAACAGTTCTATCAACGGTTATCAATAATTTTGTAACGATTAACCACTGAACCCTAAATCACTAATTTTTCTAGTTCAACGTCTGATCTGTTCTGAAAACAATTGGACTACTATATGAGCCGTGGAATTCTTATGATCGCATAGTAGCCACCCATCATTTTCTTCACAATTGGGCATGTTATGCTAAAAATCGAGGAAGTGGATAAAAGTGGGATTGATCTTCATGCTCAGTTAACACCATATTGGAGTCGAGTTATACAATTTTACAATTTCGCTCAAGGGGGAGTTGTATAGACTTTCACTGTAGGCTCTTGTCAATGGAGAGTAAACATACATTATCACATGCAACCCATTGCTAATAATTGTTAGTTCTGGTGATGAATCCATCACACATGTATCATCAACAACGAGAACAAAAGAATTACAAGAAGGGGACCATACTTGAGCGCTCATGAGATTCGAACTGGGTATATGAGAACCAGTAGAAATTACAGAGGATCAGGGGTCTAATTTGGGCAGGGGAAGATGGCGACTTGGGATCATAAAGAAGAAGATGGCGGGTCAATTAGAATTGGGCGAGATAAGAGATTGGAAGATGGAGAAGGACAGAGGAGAAAGCCAGAAATTTCTGATCCGTCCAATGAAGGGATAGAGGGATGGAGACGAAAAGCAATTTTCACCTCTGATGAAATTGGTGGACGGTAGAAATTCATGGGGAGTAAAACGAACAAACAATTAATCGATGAGTATGATTGTAATTATCATTATAATTAAATTAAAAATAATTAATAATTAATTTATAGGTGTGAACACAGATGTATTGCGTACGTCAGGCGTACGCTAGCCTGAACCATATATGTGTATATATATGGGTCAGACTCGTGTGCTCCTTGAGCATACTATGCTCCATGTACTCATAGTGAGATATCTCTATCTAGATCATGAATTAAACCGAGTTTGGGGTATGATACTAAACCCTAACCTCAAATGGATAAACCCCAGGCCCCGATTTTCTAATCCCAAACCCAAAGTTCAATTAAAGAGAAAAGAAGAGTTGACCGTTGAGAAAGATTGGTCGGAGCTAATCCATGTAAATCTAACAGTCAGATTATCTGGAGCATACTATTCGTCTCCATATATATTTTGGTACAATAATTATTCATGTCAATCATGTGAGTTCGTGTTGGATAAATTGGTAATGGGCTAATCGAGCTAAATGTCAATGGAGTTGCAAACAATCAGTCTTTGAATCTAGCAGCAGGTTATAGTCCAATGACTTCAACCCCAAATTGTGAACGAATTGCAAATCAAGTTGGCTGAACTAGTCACTCGAATCTGATTCTATTTTGACATGTTTGGTAGTAAAGAGTAGCTGATGTTAGATATGATGCAGTCTTGATGGGAAGTTGTAGTTGGTTTGCGATTGTATTGATAAAACAAAGAGCACTCCTACTATGCTATATAGTATTGGTGCTTTAATGTATAACTTGAAGTTGTACCATAACATTAAATGTATAAGTTTAGGTTATACCATAAAGCAATTTGTACCATTAAGTTATGATACAACTTTACAACTTGAAGTTGTACCGTCATATAAAGGTACAAGTTCAAGTTGTACCGTAAAAGAATTTGTACAAAAAGTATAGGTACAATATGAAGTTGTACCATAACGTTAAATGTACAATTTCAAGCTGTACCATAAAGGCAAAAACCTATAGCACCAATGCTATATAGCATTGTAAAATTCCTCTTAAACAAAAAGCTCGCTTGTGTATAAACAAATAAATAAAAAGGGTAATGTCTATTTTTTTATCCAAACCTTTTTTATATTCTTTTTTATTATCCGAACC